ATTTATGCAAAAATTACTCAACACAAACAAAAAAAGTTCAGCAGGTTATGTGAAATAAAAGGAAATTCAACATTTACTAATTTACTTTTTTGTAAAATGATAATGTTGTGTTTTGTTTTATTTGTAAATGTTGAATAAAAACATTTTTGCAACATTTGCTCAATAAAAATGTGCATATATAAATTTTATGCAACAGTTACTCTAAAAAAGGCAACATTTACTAAAACATATTTCTATTTCTTCTTAAAATAAAATAATAAAATCATAATTCTTTTCATTTTAGCAGTTAAATTAAATAAAAGGAAAAGACAACATTTACTTCTCTGCAAAATGCTAATTTTGTGGTTTTGTTTTTGAAAATGTTGCGCAAAAAAACTTTATGCAACATGCTCAAAATGTACATTTATGCAACATTTATTAAACATATTTTTATGTTAATGTAGTGTTTCCTTGTCTATTTCAAAATAGCTCATTTTCTGTTGTTGCATGCTCTTCCTTTAAAGCTCAATTCTGTCTCCTTCAGGTTTTGATTCCCTGAGGGCTCGGAGTGTTTACAGCCAAATGCTTTGTTTGTATGGTGTAAAAAGTTTTAGCAAATATATCCTAAATTAAATGAACTTTTTTTTTTACCCTTAAGGCAGCATTTGTTTCTTGTTTTAAGCATGCACCTCAGTAAATTGTGTTAGATTGATGTTTAACACAAGCAAAAGCGAGGCCTAATATCTTGAAATCCTTATATTGCATGCTAAAGGCATCAAAAAATGCTGTTTAATCCTTATGTTTTTATTATATGCTATTAGATGACTGTTGAAGTAATGCTTCAGTGTTGAATCCAGCACTTGGAGCCGGACTGGTTGAGGGGAAACCGGATCTTTTAACCCCATTACATTGCTGGATGTAGGTCAGAAGATTTATAGGTTGCGATCGATCATGGCACAATCAGCGCCAGCCATTTTTCATCCCCGTAATTGGGAACTTTGCAGCAGGATGTGGCAGTTTGAGTTTGTTTGGTCAGGACATTGTGCTGGGCTCAGATACGGTAGAGTTTACTGTACTGTCTGTATGTGATTGTGTTTGAGCTAAAAGACCAGTCTGATGCACAGCAGACCGTTCTGTTGGGCTTTTTCTCACTGTAATACTGCAGAATCCTCAATGTGTCAAACTGAAAGCCTGAGAAACACTAAGAACTCTTAATCCTGTCTGCATCAGATCTTCTGGACTGAACAATACCATGATTCATAGCAATATCTATGGTAGGGCTGCACAATTAATCGAATTTCTAATCGCGATTACAATTATGGATGCCACAATTACATAATCGTTCAAAGGTGCAATTAATCGTTTAAAGTCCACTTCTGTTATTCTGCGTGCTTAAGATGCGTTTTTTTTTCTTGCTACAGGTTATCTTAAGGGTTTTTCCATTGTTTTAATTTTCGTTAAAGGGGTCATATGATGCGATTTCAATTTTTGCTTTCTCTTTGGAGTGTTACAAGCTCTTGGTGCATAAAGAAGATCTGTAAAGTTGCAAAGACTAAAGTCTCAAATCTAAAGAGATATTCTTTATAAAAGTTAAGAGTCAACCACGCCTACCTAAAACGGCTCATTCTAACACACCCCCACATATCTACGTCACAATATGGGAAGATTTGCATAACGCCGCCCAAATGTTCACGCAAAGAAAGAAGGCGTAACTTTTATTCTCGCTGTAGTATTGTTGTTGCCGCTGCCATCGTGAAGGCACTGTGTGCTTCGTTGTGAAAGCGAAACTACTTTGTTTGGACGAAGCAGAGTCCAGCCCGGGGTCGTCACATGTGGTTGCCGCAAGCCCGCTGGACGCTCCTTCGTCGAATCCGCCGGCCACGCCGTTCTCAAGTCCACCGGCCGTTCCTCACTCTAGCCCTCCGGCCTCCGGCCTCCGCTCGCTCAAAGCCGCCGCTGTGACACTGTGTTTCGTTGTGAAAGCGAAACTACTTTGAGAAAATAATGTTATTTTTAGCAACATCATATGACCCCTTTAAAGTATAACATTATAGTATCATGCATACTTTTACTTTTTTTTATTTAAAGAAGAAACCAATCCAATGTATAGTTGACATTTGAGGCTTAGTACTATAGAAAAGCAATACAAGTCTTTTGTGCTGAAACATAATATTAAATAAAAAATTTATAATAATTTACATTATTACATTACATTAAACTAAAGTGTGTGTGTGTGTGTGTGTGTTTAAACAATATATAATATTTTGCTAGCAGCAGTAGTTAATATTTCATTTGCAATATTAATGTGTATTCATAGTAGAATTAAATATATAATTAATTGTATATTTATAATGATGTATTAACAGTTAATTATATGTTAGTTATTTTATATTAAATCTGTCTTATTAAATATATATAATTTATAATTAATTATATATTCTATATTTCTAATCATGTATTAATAATAAATTATATATGTTATTGTGTTATTTGACAGATATAACGAAATAAAATTATTTTCTTTCGGAACACGGTATTGGGATGCGGCGGATTGCGGTGGAGGTCGCAATGCCGGCTCAATATCGTGATGTCTATCGGCTATCGGCCCAACCCTAATACACATATATATTATATATCAATTGGAATGCAAAAGCATATTTCTCTCCAGATCTTCCAGAGCTCCATGTAGGAATCACAGACACTTCTAGAATATCAGAGGCTCTCAGGTGGTTTCCATAGGCAACAGTATGGTGCACACGTGTTGAATGTGCAGATTTATTCAACTCTACTGTCTCCAGTGCTTCATTCTCTCGGCTGAGCCTCGAACCGCAGGTTCACGTTCTGAGGTCATGAGCGCCGGTCACGGCTGATATTTATAAAGCTCTCTCCGTAAGTATGCTGATCCGACGCTGGCCTCCTCCGTGCCCTGAAATCCATATTCATCAGGATATGAAAGGTTATAACTTGTCCTACATCAGCACTTCTGCTCGCCACTTAATTAGATCTTATATTTCATCGGAGCTTTGAGCTGAAACTTTTCACTCATGCTGATTACAGGCCGACAAAGTTGTAGCTCAAGTGCGGTGCTAAAACCCCCACGTCTAGCCAAGCATTTGAGCTTTGATTTGCCTCTAATGGAGGTTCTGTTTGCCTCTAGTTGCACCAATAAGACTAATTAGGCTTTGGTGTGAATAATTAAAGTGGTGTAGCGAGACCAGCAGTAGTAACAAGTACATTTAGTGAAAAGCAATTAGCAGATTTAGCACCTGCAAAGACCATTTATCCTTTTTAGCATTTTGCTGTTGTTGTAAGGAAGCAGATCTCTGGCTGTGTTTCAAACCCTGGTGAGCTACGTAGACAACTGCCTCCTGAGGCAGCATACTAACTGAAATGCTAGCTTTTAAGTGACCAGTTAGGAGTGTTGTGCATAGAGAGCAACAGGTTTGTTACGAAAACATCATGTGGGAGGCATACAATTAATTATCACACAAAATAATTTATGCTGCTTATGCTTTTTATATATATATATATATATATATATATATATATATATATATATATATGTCAGTATGTCTTATGTTGTTGATTTGTACTTGTAAAAATGGCAATACTTAATTGTTAACAGTTTTTTTCCATCTTCCCTTATACATTCTTCAGACATTTTAGTATATTTTAAAATAATTATAATTTTAAAATATATTATAATACTTAACACACACATATCAAATTGTATATATTCTTTAGCCATTTTAATATATATATATATATATGTGTGTGTGTGTGTGTGTGTGTGTGTATATTGTTATATATATGATTATAAAATATGTTAACTATAAATATAATAATATATTTAACGTGTTATTAATTCATTCATTTTTCCTAATATACTTCCTAATATAAGAAAATGTTATATTAATGTAAATATTTAATGCATACAATTTAACATATGATTTTTATATGATCGTAGACTTTATTTTTATGCAAATATATACATATTTATTTTTTCATTCATTCATGGATGAAGAATATACAGTGTGTGTGTGTGTGTGTGTGTATAGAAACACACACACACATAAAAAAATGCGAAAAATATATATTATATTTTAAATGTCCTATTAAAAGTCCAAAAAGAACAAAAGAAACTCTTAAAAGATAAGCTGCATAAATATCTTTGTGTGAACGCATTCAAATTGTTGTGAAACTTTATTCAAAATTCTAGTATATACTGTATATGATACACACATGCAAATATAATATTATATCTTTATATTGTAATTGAGCTTTGTTGAATTTATCATTTATGTTTTGCCTTATTTGTATATGTTAGAAACTGTAAGAATAGTGTGCGATTCTGAATTCAGTCCTAGCGCTGGGATTGACACTGTGGATTCATGATCATGATCAAAAACTCTTAGAAAGCTGCATAATTGCAGTTTTGGAGCACAGTCTCAGTGTGTGTTTAATACAGAGGAAATCTGTCGATCGAACGTATGCCGGTGATTTCCGGAGAACTCCCTCGCAGCTCTTCTGGGGTTCGAGATCCTCATCGGGGTGTTTCTCTGATGCTAGCTAATGCTTAAGTCCTGCCGGAGAAAGCTGGTCTGCTGTCTTCCCACAGCACATTAAAATTGGATGGCCTCCCCCCCACACCCGCTGCCAGCCTCTAACTTATTTACGTCTCTAATCCCCTAATAAGGGTACTTACATTGATTCTCTCCCTAACCAGGCTCCATTGCAGATTAAACAGGTCTATAGAAGAGAGAATGATGATTTGAATGAGAGAGAAGATTACAGGAGCTGTGTGATTTATCTGAATGTTACACACAGCCCTCTCTCTCTCTCTCTCTCTCTCTCTCTCTCTCTCTCTCAGAGTCGTGGAGGTTGAACAGAAGCGCGAGGCCGCCGCCGCACACACTCCTCGCCTTTCTTACAAAATAGTGTAGTGTAGCGAAAATGAGAAACACCGCCCTCTCTCTCTCTCTCTCTCTCTCTCTCTCTCTCTCTCTCTCTCTCTCTCTCAGAGTCGTGGAGGTTGAACAGACAGACGCCTCACTCTTATGTCAAGCATCAATTAAAGCAATTTTCATCCTTGGAAGTAAGTGTCTTCCTGCTCTGTTAGAGATTATTAACATCTCCACTACAGCTGTAGTTGATTTTTTTTTCTATCTTAAAGGAACAGTTCACCCAAAAGTGCAGAAGACATTTTTACCTACTGGCTGTAATATACTAATAAAACGGTGGGGAAAATCTTATATATTGTTGTAAATTTTATGTAGTTATTATTACATTAAAACATAAAATTTTCTATTCATGTAAATGTTTTATATATATATATATATTAGTGCTGTCAATCGATTAAAAAAATTAACTAATTATCGCACATTTTTTCTGAAATTAATCGCGATTAATCCCACCTAACTGTAAAGTTTTTAAATATACTTTTATATTGCAATAATTTCACATTAAATCTTCAAATTAATGTACAAACAACATAAAGACAGTGTATATTTTTAATATTTGTTTAATGGCATCTTTTTTATGACTTAAGGCCAGTATCACTGATACAAATACTATTGATGTCTCTATAAAATAGTTTCTCCCCCTAATATTTAACCATTGACTATAGTCATTCAACATTACAGTATAATTAAGAGCTATCAATTTTAACATTTATTAGACTTTAAAAAACAACAACTTCTAATTTAACTGAACTTAAAACAATCTTCACATAAACCCATTATAATAAATGTCATATTTACCTGTGCCCTTCAGCAGAAATATACAGAAATTGAAATTGAAGTTATCAAACACTAAATTCTAAATTAAATATAGATGAATCCTTAAAGCTATAAAAGTTATTGATTTCCTCGTTTTTCTTTTTTCTCTTTGATGAACAGACATCACAGCAGCTGGTTATTAAGTTGTTTTGGCTGCTATTAATTTAAGAGCTGCTGCTGCTCAACATGATGCGGATCTGACGCACATCGTATTTGCTGTCAACTCTCTTTACCGTTTCTGACTCACTTCAGGTCTTAAAGTCTCAATAATGAACTGACGAGTTAAATCGGGTGTGTTAGATGAGTGAGACGGGCTGCTCCAGGACAGTTTGTAAAAGCATTTCAGAGACATGTTCTTAATGTGACTCATATAAAATATATTACATGCATGCACAGTTTTAAGGCAGCTTTTTGGTAACTTCATGAATGAACTGACCACGACATTTACGTAGTTTTTTTCACGCTTTGATATGAAATGATAAAGGATACAGTGTGCGCCGGCTCCTTTCTGCGTGCAATTGAAGGTCACGCGTTCCGTGCGCAGGACCGTTTGTGCCTGGCGCTGGGGTAAAGTTGGAGCACGCATCTGAAACGTCTGCGGTTTTATGTGGTCATAAAGACATTCTGTGACTGAATAAATGCACTTCTTGTCAAGAGAAAAAGTGACAGAAACAGCAGTTGTGAGTGGGGTGGTCAAACCCTAGCTCCGCCCCTGCGTTAATTGCGTTAAATATTTTTAACGCGTTAAACTGAAAAAAATTATCACCTTATGTGACTAATTAACACGCTAATTTTGACACCACTAATATATATATATATATACACACACACACAGTATATATGATTTTATATGATAGACTGTGATTTTTACCAGGAAGCAGTAACTATAATAATATATTTAACATACAGTATGTATTAGTAATTTTTAAAATAATACTTTTCATATAATTATTTAAATTATGATTTTACAGTTATACACATAAAATATTTTTTAAAATGTAACAAGTCCAAAAGGAACATAAACATGAGCATTAAAATATCTTTGTTTGCTGAATACATAATTTTTTCTCCACTAAAGCTCTGAAATGTATTCAGAAATTAAGAAAAAATAACAACAGTGTTTGTAATGACAAAAGAGGGCAAGTAAGTGACAGGCATTTTATTTTGATGTGACTGATTCCTTTAAAGGGGTCATATGATGCAATTTCAATTTTTCCTTTAGAGCTTAGTGTTACAAGCTCTTGGTGCATAAAGAAGATCTGTAAAGTTGCTAAGACTAAAGTCTCAAATCCAAAGAGATATTCTTTATAAAAGTTAAGAGTCAACCAAGCCTACCTAAAACGGCTCGTTCTAACACGCCCCCACATGTCTACATCACTGTGTGAGAAGATTTGCATAACACCACCCAAATGTGCACGCAAAGAAAGAAGGCGTAACTTTTATTCTCGCTGTAGTATTGTTGTTGCCACCGCTGCCATGTCGTGAAGGCGCTGTGTGTTTCATTTTGAAAGCGAAACTACTTTGTTTGGCCTTCCATAAGAGGACGATATTCCGCTTCGTCATGCCTGGAGCTGATCCGTGCTTGTCGCTGAGGAAATACATTAACTTCACGCTGTGGATCGCCGGATCGGCTTTCACTGTGGACAAAGCGGAGTCCAGCCCGGGGTCGTCACATGTGGTTGCCGCAAGCCCGCCGGACACTCCTTAGTTGTATCCGCCGGCCGTTCCTCACTCTAGCCTGCCGGCCGCCTCTCACTCAAGGCCACCGCTGTGACGTCGACGCGTTTCAGAAAGGAAGTACAGTATGTGGAAAATAATGTGTTTTTTGAACCTTAAACTGCATAAAGACATTTCATTACACCAACTACACAAAATAATGTTCTTTTTAGCAACATCATATGACCCCTTTAAGGTGTGTCTCTTAAAAGCAGTAGATGTGACATCAATCACGCTGTCAGAGCGATGCCCCCTCTGTCACATGATGCATCATCCTTCAGCACCTTCTCACTGGAACCAAACCCAAATTATTCCCTGCTGCAGAACAAAACGGTCTTGTGCTTAATTAATGGCGCTGGGAAAATGAGTTTGAATATTTATCGGTCACGTTTAAAACAAGTGGCAGAGACGCCAGGGGAGATTCTCATTAGCATAGTGCTTCATTTAGCATTAGCGAGGAGTCTCATGTGAACGGTGTCAGAGGAAACTCTGTTTCGTCAACTATGAGCACTTGTGTCCCTGTGGACTTTGAGAAAGTAAACTCTCTTAAAAGACACTTCTCACGCACTCATTCTGACAATGTCAAACAGTTGCATCATGGAAGAATTCTCTCATTTTTTAAATTATACAAATATACAGTGCTGGCCAAAATTGTTAGAACACCTGACAGATCTGAAAATATTGACCTTTTTTGCCTCCAAAACAGGCACTTTTTGGAGCAAATACAGCAGCTCATCTCTCTGACATAGTGTCAGTATATTTCCTGAGAACTTCAACACTAATGTTATCCCATGCCTTCTGCAACTCAAGCCAAAGCCTTTCCTTTGAATATACAATAGCCTAAATCTGTCCGGTTTATTTTCCAACTCGCCCCAAATTTGCTCGATGGGGTTGAGGTCCGGACTTTAAGGGGGCCAGTCCATCATTTTCAATGTTCCAGCAGATTCCTTCTGTCGCAGGTAGTTCCAGCAATAGTTAGTTTTATGGGTATTGTAATGGCCAATTCAACAAAAACAACTGAAACTACCAGTGCCACAACAACTGCCACCACTGGATGTATTACACATTTATTATTATTATTATTTTAGTGTAATTTCCACCACAGTGTTATTTTCTACCATGTCTCAATTAGTGTTGCTTTCGTCAACGAAAATTATGACTAAATATCGTCGTCAACGAACCTTTATCACGTGACGAAAACGAGACGAGACGCAACGTAAATGCTGGTCATGTGACGATGACTATAATTAAATGTATAATGCAATATTGTTGACGAATAAAAACGTAACTAAATGTGGTTTACAAAATAAAAACTATGCTAAAATGTCTCTTCATTTTCGTTGACCAAAACGAGACGAAACGAAATGTTATAACGTTATTTCGTCTCGTTGTTATTATTATTATTATTATTATTATTTTGCAGTATTTCTGTTTCCTGTGTCTCACTTCAGGGGCTGCATCAGTCACTTCCTCAAGCCCCACTCGCGACATTATTTAGAACAGTGTGTGACGCTCTGCGTATTATCCCGCTCTATGCGTGTGCGCTCCGCTCAGTCGCTCACGGCCCATGTGAGTGCTCCACTCATATACCGTTCATGCTCATCTGAACAGCAAAGTCCACTCAAAAATCAAGCCGACAGGAAAGATCGATGTAGTACAGTGTTGTTTCTGTCTGCAATAGCCCTACTGTGCTGTAACATGGTGTGGTATATGAGCAACTCTGGTAACGCTGCCCTCTCATTCATTGATCTGCTAACCGCTATGTTATGCTCACGTGTTCTGATGATAATAGCTTTCTAGGATTAAACATTATTTGGATAATTGGTAAAAAAAAATTTTTTTTAAATCTCTTAATAGCCCTACTGTGTGTTAGACCTACCCGAAAAACTAAAAAGCAATTTATTTCATTTGTAGGCCTATC